TCCCTCCGAAATTCATCTACAATAGTCTATTTCGTTAGAATTTTAAAGGGGATTGGTTAAAAATTAGTCCTTTCTTCAATGGGCTCTATAGAATTATTTTTCATATGACACAAATGCTCTAATATTTTTATGTTTTGCTTATAAAGTGCAAGCTGCTAGTTGCTTTCACAGGATTAGTGAAGCAAGAGTATAAGTTTTGAGCAATTGAGATGACTGTGAAATTTAGTGTTATAGCTCGAGTCCCCAAGACAAGTATCCTGCTTGGTCATTGCCTTCGAGTGGTTTAACATGCTTAGGTTGAAGTTAATAACTGGCTAACTATTCTATCAAAGGTTTCTCCTTTGCTTATTACTTGGTGTTGTGGTTATTATATTGAAAGATGCCAATCGTGGACATGGACACATTCAGAGTGAGTGGCTATATATATATATGATTGTACATATGGATCCTACTCATTCAAATATGTGTGGTACTTGCGGTTGGTATCAGAGGTCTTACAAGGTGCTTTGGGCTCACTGCAGAACACATCGGGTCATACCCAATTTGGTCTGACCGATATAGTTTACTTTTGGTAGTTCTTTCTTTCGTATAAGACTTTGGTCTTAAGTTTCAGGCTTTCTTCCAAAAAGCTAGGTGATCAGATTTAACAACAGCCTATGATTGATGGAGGTGAACACATGGTGAAAATAGATCAAATATAGCAACAAATTTTTCTTGACCGGGCTCTCAGACACCCCCTCAATACTCTAGCTCCACCCCTGCACTAAGCCATAATTACTTCAAAGCAAGCCATAATTACTTCAAAGCAAAATATCTCATGTATGCAGTTGGCTGTTGGCCTAGCAACCAACGGAAGAAAATATTTTGTTATTTCTTAGCAGCCTACTTGAGAAACACGTACTCCACATTATGTTATCGAAAAAAACAACAACTGATGAGTAAAAAAAAAGAAACATACAAAGATTAATCAGCAATGTTTATCAGTAAGAATTTTGAAATCCCACTAAACACGCGGGGCATCAACGAGATGTTCGCGCATAGCGAATGCAACGTAACAAAAAGAAAATCAACGTGGCCGCTGAAGCAAGTCCAGATAAGCGATTCACGGGATCTCGTTCGACGCGAATATTCACGCAATATCTTTGTGCCTCTGTTAACTATTGAGACCGTTTTTTCTTTCTCCATGGCCACACCTCAGTTTTGGCCTAGCTTCCCCGGTGAAGATGCAGGAGAACGTCGTCAATGCTGGTGCGGCGCTGGAAGCAAACGATTGTTTACTCCCCGGAGATTGTGGTACTGTATTACACTACCTCTAATTCAATTAGCTAGAGTTTTTATGTCATTCTCAAAAACTTCACATTCAATGAGGGATACCAGTGATTGCAATTTTGGTCCCCACCGGCAAATCAATATATCGACCGAAATTTTTGGGTTTTCTCAAATTTTTGTTGAAGTTGGTCAAAGTTTATTCAAATTCATTCAATATTTTAGAAAATTTCGATCCGAAAATTGCCGAAAATCCTAAAATTTCATAAATTTCAGTCGTACTGAAATCGAAAGTGTAAACCCTAGGGATACCTAAGTTATTTTCCTTCTCTACTAAATTGCCTTTTCAACTCTACAATTAACATTCTTTTCGGATGCATCTGATGGAGGGAGTATATCCCATCTTACTATAAAATTGCTGCTCACTAACTTTTAAATCTCAACTAGAAAGGTAGTCCGCGCGATGCGCGGGCATATGTATTTGTTTGTTAAAAATCGGTCTGACAAATTAATTTCAAATAAAAAGTAAGATGTTTTTTCATTTGACTTTTTCTTTCAGTGAGCCGAGTCAAATGATGTGGTGTTTTTTTTTTCAATTTGACTCAGAATCGTGCTCTCTCTCTCGTGCGGACTCTCTCGTGAACGGATCAACATATACGCGGAGTATGTGCGGCTGACTCATGGATGTCATCATCAAGCAATAGAGGACAGAATCATCTTGAAGTTTTTAAGTAGGTTAAGATTAAGAATAGATCTAATGATTGAGGATATTGAAAAAAATCAATGGTTAGTTTTTTTAATATAATTTATATGAATTTTTATAATTTATTAGATGGTCACATGTCGGTTTAGGGGGATTGGTATTATTGCCACATGGCGATTTAGCGGCGTTACATGATCTAAATTTAATATTTAGTATTTAATATGATGCTTAAAAATTTGATCTTAAACATTTATATTAGAAGTTTGAGCTATGTATATGGATTTTGACTTATGTATTTAATTATAAATAACACAATAATTCAAAAAAAATTGAGAAAATATGTAACTTGAGTTTTATGATCATTTAGAAATCCGATTATTAATTTTTGATAGATTGAGTATCAGCTAAAAAATAGCAATTAGCTTAAGAAATAGGAGAGAAGGGGAGAGTTAGGAGGGTAGAGGGAGAACGTAAGTACGTAAGTGCGCATATATGGAGGTGGTGGTGAGGATGCAGGTATCAGATTTTCTTTTTAGATGAAGATCTAACGGTTAAAATTAATGGGTCCATCAATTTTAGAAAAATAATGGCTAAACATTTATTAGAATTTTTATGATTTTTATAAAAATCTGTTAGCTAGAAAATTAAAAGAAGGAAGGAAGGAAAGAGGGGGGATGTTTGTATCGTGAGGAGAGGAGGCCCGGGAGGAAGGGGGCAGTGGAGATGGGTTTTGGATTTTTTCTAAAGATAGATCTAATGATGGAGTATAATATTATGTCAACCGTATTAAGTGAAAATTGTGGGCTAGTTGTTTTGTTTTCTCGCATAGTTTCTTTGATTTCTAATTTATTAGAGCATCATGTGACAAGCTATAAGTGTTTGTAGGAAATTTAATAGACTTTAGCTAAATAATAGGAAGGGGGAGAGAAGAGGAGAGCCCTGAGTTTTTCTGAGAGGGAAGGGTCTATCAATTTAAATAAAATCGATGGTCATATGTATTTTTTTCTCAAAAATATGATTTTTAAAAATAATTTATTAGATGTGAAATGTGAAGACATAGAGGTGTTGTAATGGACATCTAATAGATGATGATATGTGATATATTATCAATTTTTATATAATGTTTAATTGATGTTTAGTTGTCACGGAAAGGATATGGATTTATGTCTGAAAATATATTTATCATATATCAAGAAAAGCCTACATGGATCAAACTAAAAACTGAATATATTTAAAAAATATACTAATCATTTAGCTATCTATTGTTTATATATAATCATTTAGACTATGTGACAATCGGCCACCGTAACAGAGGAACTCACATCCTGTAACTATATCTCTAACGGCTTATCTTTTTTTACCTATTAGATGACCAATCGGATGTCTATTTCTATATCGAAAACAGATAACCAATCGGATGTCTATTTTTATATCGAAAACATAGTAAAAAGAGTGAATATAGGACTTCGCTCATTAATTAATTTAATTAAACATATAATCATTCAAGCGTATCATAAAATTAATGTATAGATCGTCCATAAAAAAAGTTAGTGCTTGCATGTTGCACAGCCAGCTCGATGCTCCATGCATGGAAAGATATAACCATTTCCAATATTAAGTTATCATTTCCAATATTAAGTTATGGTGCATATCTCGTAATAACTACCTTAATTAGAAAAAGAAGAAAAAAGAAAGAGTAAATGAGGGGAGGATAGGCGTACTTACATACGTAAGAGGGATTTTATTTTGATATGATGTTTTAAATTATTGGGTCCACTATTTTAAATGAAAATCGACTGCTAGATATTTTGTTTTTTCTCATAATTTCTACAATTTATTAGAGCATCACATAGCGGCTCTACATCTTTTGTAGGAGTGCCACATAGCAGATTACGAACATTTGTAGAAAGTTTAATAGACATTTAGTATATAATAGATTAAAGGTATCAGTTTTTTAATTAACCGACACTCATAGTCTATTAAAGGTGCCTGGTGTTATGGGTGCCGAAAGTGATAAAACCAGCACCTATAGATCATTTCCCACCTAAATGATCTATAGGCGTTGGTTTTATCACTTTCGGCACCTATAACACCAATCTCTAAATGTTTTTACATAAATTTTGCTTTTTATTAAAAGAAGGAAAATATGAGAGATAAAAAGATAATAGAATTAAAAGATAATAATTGGAGTAGGAGCATACGGAGTACGTACGTGTATGTACATCCGCGGGAATAGTGAGCCCAAGTGGATTAGGATGGGTGGACTATTTTTTTTTACATCTAATCTAATGGTCAAAAATAATGGGTCCACTAATTTAAATAAAAATCAATAGTTAGATGTTTCTTTGCCACGTGGTAGGTTAGGAGCGTTTGTAGAGTGCCACGTGACGATCCAGGAGCGTTTGTAGGAAGTTTAGTGGACTTTTAGTACTCCCTCCGTACTCATAAAGGAAGTCGTTTAGGACAATGTTTAAGTCAAACCCTAAGAATATAAATCATGAATAACTTTCAAATTGTTGAGTTTGAAAATGTAAAAATTATATGAATATATTTGTCTTGAAAAATACTTTCATAAAAGTATACATATATCACTTTTCAATAAATATTTTTATAGAAACAAGAAGTCAAAGTTGTGTTTTGGAGACCGTGTCGTTGTCTTAAACGACTTCCTTTATGAGTATGGAGGGAGTATATAATAGATAGATAGATATGCAAGTGTGCTACATCATCATCTACTAGTAATTATTATATAGATTATTTTAAATATCATATAAATATGACATATCATTTATAATATTGTTGTATTTTTAGAACTTAATATATATGTAATCAATGTCGAACCATTATCTCCACATCATTTATATATTATTTAAACATATATATCTATCATGTATAATATGCATTCATCTATATATTCCACGGCAAAGTGTGGTGTATCGACTAGGATTCTATATAAGTACAGCAGCTGTAAGCATTAAAGGCTGCCTGGAACCACACACAAAGCAGGCAGCCAAGCATAGCCCACAGCAAGCTCGACCATGGCGTCCCTCTCCTCCCTCCTCCTCGGCTGCTTCCTCCTCGCAGCCGCCATCTTCCTCCACCGCAACGGCGCCTCCACCACTACCACCCACCTCCATTTCTACATGCACGACGCCTACACCGGCCCGGCTCCCACCGCCATGCGCGTCGTCTCCGGCCGCTCCTTGCTCGACGATGGCGGTGACGCGGTGCCGCGTCAGTTCGGCGACATCGTGGCGCTGAACAACGCGCTGACGGAGGGGCCATCCGCCGGCAGCACGCGCGTGGGCACGGCGCAGGGGTTCGCGGTGCGGGTGTCGGAGGGCGGCATGTGTGGAGATTATGGATACCCATATCTACATGACAGTTGTAATTTAGTCGGATATACGGTACCAAATATAGATGGAATATCTCTATGAAGACTCGGGTTAGGTTCTAAACTTGTATGTCAAGGAAATACCCGGGATCTTAGTCGGTTACGTTTGTATTTTATCTATAATCCCATATTCCGTTAGGATATGGATTGTATTTTGTAAAGCGGACTCCTTCCCCTATATAAAGAGGGTCCGTGTGCCTCTTGGGCGCGATTCTTTTTCCCAATTTATACAATCAATAACACACTCGGCGGAATCATCCCCGGACAGGAGTAGGGTATTACTTCTTGAATAAGAAGGCCCGAACTTGTATAAAATTCTTCGTCTCCAAACCCATCCACTTTCCTAGCTTGATAGCCACCCCCTTTTATTATTGCCGAAATCTTGTTTCGACAGTTGGCGCGCTAGGTAGGGGTAGCGTCAAGTTCTCACCGACTAAGTGCGATAGGTTTCGTTTCTGGCATCGACGACTTCGCCTTCCCTCCCGGGCAGGCGTTCCGGTTCGGCAGCCTCAACTTCATCACGAACGACTTCGGCAAGATCTCTCTTCTTGACTCGGATTCAAACCAGTCGGGGAGAGACCAGGTCCCCGTCCCGTTTGGTATTCCGAACTCGGCCGAGGCCTACTCCAAGATCATCTCTCCCGAGTCGGCTTCAAACCACTCGGACGAGATCCAATCTACTCTTCCGCGACCAGATCAAGACGACGGGTCCTATCCTTCAATCCTGATGAAACTTCCTGATGATTTGCCGCTGTCTTCACAGTCAAGACATCTCCTACTCGAAGATCTAGGCGAGCTCCGGCTTCGGCCCCGATCCGATCTAGATCCAGGGAGGTTGGCGTTATAGTCCAACCTCTCGGGATAGTCTCGACGGAAGAGTTGGATGGCTACCTCAGCTCCCCTAGCGTCAGTTCTCGACCAACCGAGATCCTCGACTACGACGATTTCGGCTACCACTACGACCACGGCGACCTCGACAACTTCGACGACAGCTATGAGGATAACTACACGCCCCTCTTCTTCGGCGTATTCATGGCTGACAACGAAACGGAGGAACAACGCTAAGCCCGAGAAGCGGACCAAGATCGCGCACGGCAAGAAGCTGAACGTCGCCGACTGGAGGAAGAGCGACAGCGACAAGAGCGAGAACGACTACAGCGTGAGCAACAAGATCGCGAACGGATTGCAAAGGAGGCTGAAGATCGATGACAACGTGCCTTGGAATCTGGGCGGCGAGCGAGAGAGCTCATTGGGCAACAAGACGTCGATGGGACAGCGGTCTTTCGCACCCCCCCAGCAGAACGCGGTTGCAGCAATCACTCTCCTCGACACCCTCCTCAAGGAAGACGCACTCAACCAAGCCGATCATGTAGTCAACATCTTGAACCAGACGAAGACCATGATCGCTGCCTCGGTTCCAGCCAACTCTGCAAGCACCCGCACCCCGACTGGTAGCCGAGTCCCTCACCAGCCGAGCCTCAGCATTGCCGGCGCCGAATCTAGTCGTAGGAGCAGGGGACATGATGAACGGTCTGTTCGTTCGCCTCCCGAGCGATATAGGGAGCGCCGAGTTGAACGACCACACTCCCCACATCGAAGGCGCCCCATCGATCTTCGCGACACCATCAACCAGCGCGCGCAGCAAGAGGCCATCATTCACCGGATCGCTACGACGACGACGTGGATGGAGTTGCTGCCTTCACAAGCGATCTGCGTCGAGTGGATTGGCCAGCCGGCTTTAAGCCGACTGGAATTGAGAAATATGACGGCACCACCAACCCTGAGTCTTGGCTCACCGTCTATGGTCTCGCAATCCGCGCAGCAGGAGGAGACAGCAAAGCCATGGCGAACTATCTACCTGTGGCCCTAGCGGATTCTGCCCGGTCATGGCTTCACGGGCTACCCTGCGGCACGATCGCATCATGGGCAGAGCTACTCGACCACTTCATCGCCAACTTCCAAGGCACTTTTGAACGGCCCGGAACACACTTCGATCTTTACAACATTGTTCAGAAGTCTGGAGAATCTCTTCGAGATTACATTCGACGCTTCTTCGAGCAACGCAACAAGATCTCCGACATCACCGACGACGTCATCATCGCTGCCTTTACTAAAGGCATTCGCCACGAGGACCTAGTCGGCAAGTTCGGACGCAAACCTCCCAAGACGGTCAAACAGATGTTTGAAAAAGCCAATGAGTATGCCAAAGCCGAAGATGCTATCACGGCGTCCAAGCAATCGGGCACCACTTGGAAGCCAAAGAAGGATATGCCGACCGCGGGAGGGAGTGGAAGTAACAACCACAAGGATCGCAAGCGTAAGCCCGAAGAACTTGTGGCGACCACCTCTCCGTCTTCCCGACAACGTTCCCGCATTAACACCTTCGACAAGATAATGAACTTCCAATGTCCGCATCATCCCAACTCCAACCACGTGGCCAAAGATTGCTTCGTCTACAAACAGTTCGCGGAGCAATACGTCAAGAACGCATGTAAACCCTCAGACGGAGATCAAGGCACATCAAAGAAGAAAGATGATGAAGACGATGCCATGACTGGTTTTCAAGATCATCGCAAAGAACTTAATCACATCTTCGGCGGACCCCTGGCTTATGAATCTAAGAGAAAACAGAAGCTAACAGAACGGGAGATCAATGCGGTTCAGCCTAACACGCCCCAATATCTTCGGTGGTCAGAGATAGCAATTAAGTTCAACCGCTCGGATCATCCCGACCGAGTGGTCCACTCGGGGCGGTACCCCCTGGTACTAGACCCAGTGGTTCGCAATGTCAAGCTCCGACGGACTCTCATCGATGGTGGCAGCGCACTCAACATCCTTTTCGCTAAGACCCTGGACGATATGCAGATTCCTTGCACGGAATTAAAACCGAGTAATGCACCCTTCCACGGTGTTATCCCAGGATTGTCAGCTACACCACTCGGCCAGATCACTGTTCCAGTTACCTTAGGCACTCGGGAGAATTTTCGCACAGAAAATGTTTGTTTCGAAATTGCTGATTTCGAGACAGCATATTATGCTATACTTGGACGACCGGCTTTAGCTAAATTTATGGCCGTCCCACACTACACCTACATGATGATGAAGATGCCTGGTCCTCGAGGAGTCATATCACTACGGAGCGTCATCAAGCAGGCCGTCACATGTGACAAAGAAAGTTGTGAGATGGCCCAAACCCACGAGACTACTCTCGCCCGCGAAGAGATCCGACTGGCTGCGACCACGGCAAGCGAGGGAGAAGCGCCTGCAACCAAGCTGACGAAGACCGAAGAAAGTGATGCCAAGACGAAAAAGATTCCCTTAGATCCCTCCGATCCTGATAAGACTGCTGTAATAGGCGCTGAGTTAGATTGTAAATAGGAAAGTGCGCTCATCACCTTTCTTCAGAATAATAAAGATATTTTTGCGTGGAAACCATCCAATATGCCTGGTATCCCCAGAGAGGTGATTGAGCACTCTTTACATGTTAAGGAAGACGCCAAACCCATCAAGCAACGACTCCGCCGTTTTGCACAGGACAGGAAGGATGGATCAAGGAGGAATTAACCAAGCTGTTAGCAGCAGGCTTCATTAAGGAAGTCCTTCATCTCGATTGGCTGGCTAACCCAGTCCTGGTTCGGAAAAAGACGGGGCAATGGCGCATGTGTGTCGATTATACCAACCTCAACAAATCTTGTCCCAAAGACCCTTTCAGGTTACCTCGCATTGACCAGGTGGTTGACTCAACGGCCGGCTGTGAGTTACTCAGCTTCTTGGACTGTTACTCGGGATATCATCAGATCCGGCTAAAAGAATCCGACTGCTTGAAGACCTCGTTTATTACGCCCTTTGGGGCCTACTGCTACATCACCATGCCCTTTAGATTGAAGAATGCAGGAGCAACCAATCAACGCATGATTCAAAGATGTTTTTCAACTCAGATCGGTCGCAATATTGAAGCTTATGTTGATGATGTAGTCGTCAAGACCAAGCAGAAGGATGACCTGATTGCGGATTTAGAAGAAACTTTTACAAGCATTCGTGCTTTCAAGATGAAACTAAACCCGGAAAAGTGCATCTTCGGAGTACCGTCAGGGAAGTTGCTCGGATTTATGGTATCTCAAAGAGGCATACAGGCCAACCCGGAGAAAATCAACGCCATCCTCAACATGAAACCGCCAAGCTCCCAAAAAGACGTCCAAAAGCTGACTGGTTGCATGGCGGCGCTCAGCCAGTTCGTCTCACGACTCGGCGAGCGGGGGATGCCCTTCTTCAAGCTGCTGAAGAAGATTGACAATTTCCAGTGGGGACCCGAAGCACAGAAAGCCTTTGAAGATTTCAAGAAACTTCTCACCACTCTACCAGTTTTGGCCTCGCCACATCCGCAAGAGCCGCTACTGTTATATGTGTCGGCGACCTCCCAGGTTGTGAGTACGGTCCTGGTTGTCGAGCGTGAAGAGGAAGGCCATATTCAAAAAGTCCAACGTCCAATTTATTTCGTTAGCGAGGTTTTAGCTGACTCCAAGACAAGATATTCTCAGGTTCAAAAGTTACTATATGGTGTCTTAATTACCGTCAGAAAATTATCTCACTACTTTCAAAGTCACTCGGTCACGGTAGTCACATCGTTTCCACTCGGGGATATACTTCATAACCGCGAAGTAAACGGACGGATTGCGAAGTGGGCCTTAGAATTGATGTCTTTGGACATATCGTTCAAGCCACGAACTTCAATCAAGTCACAAGCTTTAGCTGATTTCCTTACCGAGTGGACCGAGTGCCAAAAAGACATGCCAGAGGAAAAGATGGAATATTGGACTATGCATTCTGATGGGTCGAAGAGGCTTACAGGCACTAGAGCTGGGGTTGTTTTAATCTCCCCGACTAGAGAAAGATTGAGCTACGTATTGTGGATACATTTTTCTGCGTCCCATAATGTGGCGGAATACGAGGCGCTA